TGCCATAATGAAGACCTCTCAGGCCCTGTGTTAACCTGCCCAATTGTGTTGTCAGTTTTCTTTTGTGCCTCTTACAATGTGTTATTATTTTGATTGGCTGTCATTGCGTTTCTTTTCATTTGATTCTCTGTGTCGCGCTCGAAGATTATTTCCACTGATCACTGTACCATTTTCAGGTTATTTCAGAGTAAAATTGTTATAAGATGTGAGACGCTGCACTATACAAAAAAAGGTTCCAATCAGGTGTGTCAGCTGCTTTTCACAAAAATGAATCATAAATAGAGAGAGAGAGAGAGAAAGAAAGTGAGCGTTCATTCAGCTTTTTATTTCCAGCAGCAAGATCAAAACCCCCGAGGAAAAACTAAGACCTTCAATGTGAGGTGCCGGTGCTTTGTTCACTTCTGAAAATTGAGGCTTCTTTTGAAATGCCACAGATTTGACAAACAGTTGCTGTCAAATTGTGTATCTTATCGATCTGATACGCTCCTCTCCCTCACCTCTCCAAACAGCTGTTTTTGTTTTCTCATCTCAGTCATCCTCTCTCCCGTCTCCCCTCCTGTCCTCGAATGATGAGAACAGCAGATATGTTTTGGAATGACTTGACTACAGTGACATGTTATGCTGTGCTAAGTTGCGCCTCAGAAATACTTGTTGCCATAACGGGTGTGACCAAAATCTTTGAAAGCCACTTAGCTAACCCAGCTTGCTCCTTGAAGACCCACACTCTTCATTAACTTGGCATGGAGCAGCAGATGAGGCAGTGGCACCGTCACGTCCTGACTCATCTGCTGCTACAGCAACAGGAGGCAACTCTTCCTACCTCCGGATGAAAACTGTGACAAACCGTGTAGTCTCTCTTTTTTTCTCAGTCTCAGGATTCTGTCACACAACATGTGTCCAAGCCAAGTAGTCTCAGATCTGCTGCCTGAATGACAAACAGGAGACCCAAAACGTAACATTCCTGGAATATTGTATTACTTTCTCGGACTCCACGGGAGAGAAGGAGGTTTTTCCTTTCTAGCCATAGCTGTTTATATAAATGTCAGTATTTGCAGATGTATAGCATCGATAAGTACTATCTAATTTTTATTATTGTGTTGTTTTATGATGCTGTTGTTGTCACCACACGGGGTAGCAGGCATGTGGGCAGACAGTTTGGACACCCAACTTTTGTGAACACGAGAACAAGGTGACGTGGAATTTTCAAACGGATACCGTAACATCTGTGGTATCATAGGTGTGCATCTACCAAAAATCTTGGATGAGTTTGAATCTTGCTCAAGTTTTCTGAAAATCTTGTGAATGCGGTAACTCGAGAAGTAAGTCACCGAGGATTTTCACATTTATACGATGGAGTACATACATTTGCAGCACTAGGAGGCTGATGGACAGCACTGGTGGCTAAACAGCCAATTTTTAGAACATTTCCTGCTTCACTATCTCCAACTTGGCAAAAACCTTTATGGTACAGTTTGAACACATAGAATCAGTGCTGTGAAATTTTAGCTGTGTATTGTGTATCCAGCCCTTCCACTTATCCTGATAAGGAGGATTGATGGATATCAGTATGGTATGTATGGTATATGGAGATTTTATAGCAGCCATTATTATGTTCAAAGTTTCCTACCATAAATGTTTTTGGAAATCGGAGATGTTCATGAAGAAGGCTTGATGGATTTAAGGCGGAATGACAAATTTGCTTCACAGTTCAAATCAGGCGTGAAAGTTTCTTTAGCATCATCATGCAAAAATGGCGCCCTCTGTCTACTTGTTAGCTGTGCAAGCAACAAGTCTAAAAACTGTGATGCTTTATAGACTTTTACAACATCTGTAATGATGACTGAACATTCGTTTACTATGGCTATAATCAGGTCAGATTTTCAGTGCTGTATTTGCTTTCTTTATGAATCCTTTTGTGGCTGCAATAGTATAAGTTTTGGCCTTCAGGAAACAACTGCCTCTGCTGCTACAGGCTTTTTGTGTACAATCTTGAAAAAGTGAAATGTTCACAAAATAAACTGCATTTCGTGGTTGGTTGGTGTTTTTTTTTGTTGTTTTTTTTTACTAGGACAGCAGGCATTTCTGTGGAGCAGCGAGTCTTTTTATTTTCACTTCATTCAAGTCCAACAATGGCAGGTCAACGTGTGTGTCCTTGTGGAGAACAGTCCTTTCTAAGGGAATACTGATGAAAAGTATAACTGCATACTCTCAGTCACCAGGCACCTTTATGCCCTTAGTTAGCAAGTAACCTTGAGAGATATTTATCCACGATGTATTCTTCCACCTGCCTCATTCTTTTTTCTTTTTTCTTTTTTTTTTTTAACTCTGTCTCAAACTGTAAATAGCTAAATTTTAAAAGGGTACAATCTGACAGGATCCCTATTGAACGTACAAAGGGTCATTTCATGGTTTCTTCTTTGGTAGACCAAATGAGCTAAAAGACTGATACAAAGAGTGATTATGTTGGTCAGAATAGGTTCTGGTTAAATATTTTATTAAAGACAGTGAGCCCTATCAGTATCAAGGCCACGAATGGCAATCAGAGGGCTGATGAAAGCAGCTACTAGCAAATTTAGGGGTTCGAATGCCAGTCACATCCGTAACCATGTATTCATTCATGTTCGCCACTACCAACCCTAATAGGTTTACTCATATCTTTCTTTTTGTGTGAAGTTTAATTAATTAAATACACACACAGTCAAAAGTTTGGCCACACACATCAAGGAAGTATCTCAACTAAGGACAAAACTAGAAATGGCTTATTTAGTGTCCAAAGTGGATTTTTGGTATTTGAGTTATTTTTTTATAGATGCGATTGAGAGAAGCAGCTGCTGGCCAACAAACCAGACATAGTTGTGTTTAACAAGGAGCAGAAAAAGAAAAAAGACTTGAGTAGAAACTTTCAGAGTATACACCCTGTCTAATATACATATATGTATTGAATCATAACATTTAGAGTAGAAGAGAAGATTATCTTTATTAAGACAATTATCTTGTGGCACTTGTGCATATTTGGGTATTTGTGTTCAGCTAAAAAAAAAAAATTTTTAATCATAAAAATTTCCAGTAGTCAAATAGTTTGGGAAGTTAAATGGGTGAGAAATACACAGCGAATTTTCCTTCTGCTTGGCTGAGGTTGTTACAGAGAGTGCACTGCAAGCTAAAGTCCAGATTGTTTGACCTTTACTCACCAATAATTGCAATTTACAGCCCCCTACATAGTAAGAACAAGACACTTGGAACACATTAATAGAGGTCAATTGCTTGTGTTCAGCAATGTAGGTGAAAAAAAAAAAGAGACCGATGCAGGGATGGGGAGGGCGGCCGAGACTAAACACTGCAAACTGAATTATCCACTCGAGGGCATCTCTCATGGCATTTCACGAGAAGAGCAGGGAGGGGTTTTGGTAATTTAAACCATTCCTAGTGCATCTACAGCGCCTCTGCTTCTAGACAGTCTCCTTTGATCGGAAACCTATAAAATATTAAAAGCATTGCACCATTTAGTCAGCTAATCATCATTATGTTCATGCTGTACCCAACATTTTTCAGCTGTTTGATGGCGTCTGTCCATTTTGGGCTTATTTTGGTTTTTTTATAACAACATAATATAATTTGCTCCGTCTGCGTAACCTTCATCAGGAGTTTTGTGCAAATTAAATTGTCTTGGGCCATTAACTTTGGTTTATGACACTGACAGATGTTGTATTGCTGGTAATTGGACTGATATGCGACAAATCCTGAGCATTTTTCTTTTAATGAAAGTTTTACTTTTCATCTGTCAGCCTGTAAATACAAATTTGGTGACTGACGTGCTAATCAGGCTTGAAGCAGTCAGCCGAGGCAGATGATCTTCTCTGTAATAAACCCATTTGTCATTTAAGTTGTCCTTTGATCTTGTGGGTAATTGCTTCCTATGTGTCGCGCATCACCGCAAGTTTTCGTTGAATAACAGAAAACTAAGTGAATGTTCACGTCTGTGTTTGAAACGTCGACATTCAGACTCACATAAGCGCTGATTGGCATTTCAAAGACCTTAATTAGCCTGATTAATGTAGTTCTGAGTGTCTTTATAGGATGCACCTCTTGACACCTTTGTTCTATTGCAATCAAGGATCAACTCTACAGCAGATTTGTTGTAAATCCACACGACCATCTGAGTGTTATATAAACAAGGCTTCAACGTGTGACTGAAATCAAGAAAGAGCTGTGAATGCTGACTCCCAATCCTTCTCTACCAACCCTACCTATTCTTTATGATCGTAGTCAAAGATAGGGTTAAAATCTGCTGCCATATGCCATAATTAGGAGTATCATTTAAGCCATATCAGGAAGGATGAGGGCTGCGGTCGACCCTGCCACTATGAAATGGATGAATAATGAAAAATAAGAGGGAACAATGAAGAAGCCGAATGTTAATGAGGAAACCCTCCCTTCCTACTTTTACACGTCCTCACGCCTCGCTGATTGCTGGACAAGGTTTCCTCAAAGTTTTTTGTTTCAGGAAAAGTCACAAGAATAGCCACAGTCAAAGAGAAGGGTGTCTGGCGCTGTGGGGCAATCCACCAAGCAATTAAAGCCAGCCTGCGGTCAAAAAGTACTTAAACAAGTCTCCCAGCCATGTTTGGAAGCAACACTTGTAGGCAGGTTGAAAGATTGTAATCCCAGTGTGCATGTCGGTGTTTCTTAAAAAAGGGATTCTATGAGTTCTTCTGAGTTTTTTATTTATTTATGTGCTAAACTTTTAATAATTGCAATTCCACCAAATTCTATTGGGTTCAGCTCTGGCTCGGGAGGTGCACCAATCTGGAGGTTGGTAGTTAGACTCTCGGCTGAAAACCAATCAGTCCATCTGTTTCTGGTAATTAAAGGGCTTTGCAGTAAACACATAGAATTCAAATGAATCCTGTGTTAATGGGTGGATGTGGCCTGCAGTGTGAAAGTACTTTGAGTGGTGAAAAAGAAGTGCTGTCTAATGTTTGTTATCCTCTGTTAAACAGATAAAATTGAGAATGGAGACGTCTACCAGAGAAGGAAAGGACTTCCTTCGAGCAGCTCGGATGGACATGAAACAGGAAGTAAACAACAGGAAGTGGCTGAACAGAGAGGCAGCAGCTGGCGGCGAATTCTTCTCCTCATCCTAGCCATCACTATCCACAACATCCCGGGTGAGTACAAACCACAGGACATGAAGTTTTGCTTAGGAACGTAAATTGAATTCAAACAATACGGCTTCTTTTTTAATGATCAAGAGTGTTTTTCTTTGTTGTGGGGCAAAAACACATTTTAGCTATAACCTTCCATCAATGTAAACAGACTGAATGCCTGCACTGATAAATACTCTTTGCCTTTATTGTGGTTTATATCTGCAAAACGGTTGTTGTGTTTTTTCCTCCACAACAAAGACGACGACTATGTATCGGTTATTTCTTTTCTAGGGGCGTTAAATTGAATTCAAATAAGCAGTCTTCTTCTTTATCAGTTCGTGCCAGCACTATGTCTGTTTTTCTCTTTTTGCTACAACTGTGCATCCAATACATTGTTTAAGATCTGGAACTTAATTGAATACCCAGAATACAATCTTTGCTTTTCATTGAGTGACTGTTACAGTCATTTTTGTGGCTCTGGTTTGAGTTCCTGAATGAATATGTGCCTGCAGGAATATGTATGTGAACAACATCAGCTGTGACCTGGAAGCAAAGCTTTCTGTAACAGGCAGCGCAGCACCTAGAAGCTTCTGCTCAGGTTTTCTTGTTGACTCTAAGTGATGAAAAAATATTTTATTATGATGATGAAATGTTTTCCCAAATCGTGAGCAATAGTTGCACCACAGAACTTTTACAGGGCTGACTAAGCACCCGCTAATGATGCTAATGATAAACGACAGTTAAGGGCAGTAATAAATTTGGGTTCATGTTGCTCTTGACCCTGCTGTCAACACAGCTTGAAAACTTTGTCTAAAATTCATTTGGCAGTTTGATTTAACTTGGACTTTTCAGTATGGCAACGATATTATTTGGTTGTTTCAACAGTCCACCAGTTTAGTAAAGACTGAAATAAATAAATAGTTATTGGATATGGATATTTTGGCATGCTTTCAGAAGACTTCACTTGTAATGCCACCGGGATGGTTGAAAAATAATGCTGTTTAATTTGAAACATCTTGATTGTCGCATTCATGCCAACTTTGAATTTTAGGCGACATGATACAAAGATACTAATGTATCATGGTGTTAGCCTGCTAGTAGTAGCATATGGCAGCATATAGTCCAGCTTCACTGGTTGTTGTATTAGTGGCACCATTGACCCTTTTTTTAAGTGTAGCCAGTGACTGAAAAGTTCTTCAGTTGTTTGGGTCATGACTAAATAATTACTATATAGCAGCATGCTAATCTAAGTGGTAAACTTTATCAGCACAATTAATCATTGTCCAATACTGTGATCATCCACAGTGGATTAACGTAATCACATGACATTTTTAGCTAATGCAGTAATATAATGAATTACTGGAATAAATGCAGTCATTATATACAATCATGTTGTTACCTGCACTATAAAGTTTTTTCATTTATCTGTCCGATGATTGGACAGAAAGAAAAAAAACAAAAAGCAAACATCAAATGTGCCTTTTTCTTCTGACACTAGAAAATGTAAACTTTGAAAAGTAATTGTACTGTGCTGCTAACATCGTTTTTTTACATGCAGCTCTGTGTTAAATACAAAGCTAGCAAAGAATCCAGGGTGATGTTAAAGCTGAGTGTATGCTAACCCCTACCCAGCAACCAGAGCAATGCTGAAGATCATTGAATAACTCGTTAGTACTTTATGTTACTGTATTGAGTAACAATGACAGGCAGTCAGGCCTGTAACACCGCAGCCTCCATTTCTACCTGTAAATGTTTCTAGAATGGCTCTGGTAACTTTGAAGTGTTTTGTTCTCAAATTTGCTTTATGGTTTTGTGTTCATGCATAACAGAAAGATGTTGTGTTCCCTCTTTAGTATAGGGATTTGTGTTGGTGTGTGTGTGACTGTAACCTCGTAAGTGGTAGCATTGTGACAGTGCATTTCAGTTCACGTAACGGAGTAACATGACAGTAGTATAGGGAGTAGTGTAATGAAATATTTTCACCAGTGGGTAATTAAGTAACAAACTACATTACTTTTTACAAAAGCTAGAATAATGTGCAGTACACTGATGTATTCATTTTTGTATTGTTTTTTCTTTTTTGTAACGACCTCGGCATCGATTGTTAGGAACTCTGCTAAATATTTAAAGTTTATACTTTACATTAGATCAAGAAGAAAAAAAATCGCTAGTCCACGTCCACTGAGCCAACAATTCCTATTTACAGACATGATTTAATAGTCCACTCACGTGTTGCACTCTGAACATGTGTAAGTAAACTTTGGAAGAGGCACCCGGTCCATTTGTGTCAATATAACACTTATTCATTTATCTATCGGCATCTAAACTGAATAATAAACAGTTTGTGTAGGATGCACTGCTGTACAATTTATTGGCCCCTTTGTTGTTATATTAACTTACCCACAAAACTAAAATGTGAATGAATGAAAAGGAAAGAAAATCATGGCTCTTGTGATCGATAATATCAGTTCAATACACTTGTGTTGCTACTCTAGCTCGTATTGATACATTACTGTCACTGCCTAAGAATTGATTAATGCGTTCACTGGCAAAACACTTAATTGTGTTTGTCCTAAAGGTGGAATCACTGTTCCTTCCAGCTCTTTGTATTGAGGTAGAGACCATTGTTTGCGAGGTAGCAGAAGAAACTCCACAGACATAAGAAGATGAAGTGAATGCACTACTCAGCAGCCTTGTCAGACCAAACTCAGGGTTGTCTGTTTGTGGTGTGAACTGTGCATCAATACAAATAAAAAATAAGAATAGTTCATACATCAGACACTCATTTAAACAACAACCATATGATGATCAATATAAAGTGTGCATGTCTGTCTGTGTCAGAGAGCAGGAGAGGATGCCAGCAAGCTGTAAATGTTACACGAGGTGTAGCAGTAAACCATGTATGTATAGTCACTCTGAATTTACAATTCACCCACCTGCTGCTGAGCTCCACAGAATACCAACAATGCAGCTTTTTTTTTAAAGCTCATTACACAAAAGCCTGTTTCCCAGCTCAGGCTGTTTTGTAGTGCGTCAGCCGGAACGCTCACTGAATGTACATATTGATTTTCTTTCTCGCTTCAAATAAGTTGTTGGAATATTAATGATGAAAAAAAATAAATCAGTCAAATAGACAGGTTTGCTCTGCAAGAGGCCTTGCACTATTAAACACTACTCAGAGGTCAACAAGTCACAGTTTTGTCAAGTCCAATAAGCTAATTAAGTTAATAACCTGTCAGTCATACATCAGAGAGAAACGGCGGTAAATGTGTGCCTTTTGTCCCCCCCACCCCCACCCATCAGCCACTATGTAAAAACTTAAGTCAAGATAAGGTTCATACTTAAAAAGAAAAGAATGGTAAAGTAATTAACAGCAGGGTCGGTAACTGAATTAACTAAGTAATAGTTAATTCAGTTATTAATTAACTGCTGTTTGTTTATACCGGTAATCTGCTTGTGAATTTTGTGTTGTCAGCATAAATAATCTTAACTCCCAGCACTCATTCCCTTTTGTTTTTCTCATTAAAGCAGAGGCCATATTTACTTTATTATTTTAATTGACTTGTGACATTGCTGAAGAGGAATGTGAGGTGCTTGCGGGGTACAATAAAGTGCCAGTAATCGTAGCACTTTTTAAGCTTCCAGAGCTGAACTATTTTGCCACACACTGAACTCAAAATGCAAAAACTAAATACAAAAAGAATACAGCTTGTAAAACAAAATAGCTCATGCTCGTGTTTAGACTCTTCATTTCAAATTAGCTTATGCAACAGTGATTTTTATTTACACTACCGGTCCCTGAAAAAAGCCTTTTTGTATAATTCTGATTTTTTTTTTGAGGGGGAGCAGTTTGGGGGAACAACTTGAATTGCAATAAATAACTGGAAAAATTGGGGCATTTTAACATTTTGACCGGTGGTGTAAATCTCCAACTGTATTTCACATGTTTATATTTCAGTATAAGTTTGTCTGTTTTAAAGCAAAAAAAAAAAAGAAAAAGGAAAAAATCATTAGAGAAAACATTTTTTGTTATTTTGAGAGATCCAGTTCCTGGTTAGTAATGCTAACACTACCACTAATATTAAATTTCAGAAAGACCTTTATCCACATAGATTGAAATAGTAATGTGTATGTGTTAGTCCCCGTGGGCAGTGTGTAGGGACGGTACCTTGCTCAGGGCTACCTCAGCCGTTCAGTGGATTCAAACCCCTGACCTTCCGATCATGGGGCCACCACTCTACCCATGGAGCTATCCCTGCCCTTTATTTATTTTTTTTTCATTTTTAAATAATGTATCTCTCTCAATATACGTATAGATATATGGTCATGTGACATGTGCCACTGATTTCAGGTTTACTGCTTCTTCGGGAGTTGACAATATAGAGGCAAATGTTAGATTAGGTTCTTCTTTCAAACTACTTTCCAAATATAACATTTAAAATTATAATTATAACGGCAGTACAAAGTACAAAAACAGTTTCCATGTTTGCTGATATTGGTTGAGACATCATAGCAAATAAACTCACTAAGTAGGCTACCATAATTGCAACTTTCTGGATGGATGAGACACAAAAAGAGCATGTGATGAATATGCAAGTTGATTTTACTTTCTAACTTGTTGAGTGAGTATCTCCATGTTATCTATAAGTAATGCAGACACATGAAAAATTGACTTTAGTGGTTTTACTATTATGTATTAAACTGCTGTCAGATTGCGGCTTCATTTTTAAAGTGACACAATATTAATTGTTTAGTGAACAGACATGAATTTGAACATTAGAACATTTGCAGTCTGAAAGTGTATTTGAGAAAAACTCAGATCGGTTTAGATATTTGTCAGTGGTTTCGTGTCTTGAATGAACGCTTATTTCTTTTAAATGTAGGGCAGCAATAGTAAATCAAATAATTTATATTCTCTCTTTTATCTATATTTAAAGTAAAAGTAAAAATGCACTGAGTGTCAATCAGTGCTACATGCTTTTTTAAAATCAACTTCGGGGAATCATACAGCAGAGCTGACA